CATGGTCAGACTCAGCCAAGATGCGGCCGCTACTTGTCTTGGTGGCAGCTGTTGCGTCGTGGAGCGGGAAGAACCACCACCACCACCATCACCACCAACACCATCACCACCCACCACCCACCCATCACCAACCATCACCACCAACACCATCATCACCAACACCATCACACCACAACACCATCACCACCAACACCATCACCAACACCATCATCACCACCAACACCATCACCACCAACACCATCACCACCAACACCACCAACACCATCATCACCACAAACATCCTGCAAACTTTTAATTTTATTTTTTCTTGATTTAGGTGAACACAAAAACAAAGTGGGATGAGGTTTGGTTAGACATATTCTCACGTCTCCAGTTAGGTTTAGGTTTGGTTAGACATTCTCACGTCTCCAGTTAGGCTAGGTTTGGTTAGACATATTCTCACGTCTCCAGTTAGGGCAAAATTCAATATACAAACCTTAAACAATTTAAATACTGTATTTCATTTTTATTTTTCTTGTAACTGGAATTTTAGACCATACCTCACTAGCTGACCTCGACGATGATATAAAAAAGACAGAAGTTACATTTAGGTCGTAACTTAGAATTGTTATTTTATCCTCAGTTAGGGTTAAGAATATACAGTGATGAAGTTTGCATACATGAAAATCCGGGTGAGAGGTGACGGGTGTGTGTGTGTGGGGGCTGATAGTGATCCAGGCGCCAAGTGTCAAGGACTCGTGTAGTGGGTGTTGTAGTTCCTCTCTCTACAACACAATATACTCAACACAGCGTAGTTTATCGTTGAATTCCTCCTCATTGAACGGTTCAGTATTTAGAAGTTCAAAGGCGATGTTATTTTACACTAGAGTTAAATTGTTATATAGTCTGTATTATTGTCTTATGTGTTTGGTTTAGTGTGTGTGTAAATCATGACTTAGTGTTGGATGCGTTAATACTTTATAGTTATTCTCTCATAGACGGTAAGATGTGTCACTGATTTATGAATACAATATTTATCTCAAAGGTAACTGAAATATTGTTTGTTGTTGTATGTTAGATGATCGTCGCCTGTGTTTATCTTGCGTCTGAATTAAAATTATGATGATGAACAACTTCCCTCAGAAACCTTCGTCACAAGAGACTTAATATTGAAGGAGGAAACACGATAGGTAGAGCCTCTCGACCCAGCACAAACACTGATACAAGACAAGGTCACACAGGTCTCCCCTTACTGCCTCGTAAACACCAACATTTTACACCAGCTAAAGGTCACCATACCACCACCCCCCCTCCCCTCCCGCCTTGGGTCTTTATATTCATGGCAGCATCTTGTTTGTTTGTTTGTTTGTTTGTTTGTCGTCTTTCAGGGTCGGTGTTTCAGTGGATTTGTTTGTGATGTAAATGAGGATATTTTTTGTAGTGTGTGTGTGTGTGTGCAGTGACATGGAAATTGCGTGGGATGCATGCAATTGTGGAGGTATGGAGGGAGGAAGGGAGGGAGGGAGGGAGGGAGGTGTGGGTATGGAGGGGAGGAGGGGGTCTGTGGAGGATGGAGGGGTGTAGAGATGTGGAAGGAAGGAAGGAGGTGGGTGTTGAGGGAGGGAGGGAGGTGGAGTGGAGGGAAGGAGAGGTGGGTGTGGAGGAAGGGTGTGGGCTGGGCGGCCGTGACTTCTCACACTGTGTTACGCAGAGGGAGGTTGTCGTGTGGTGGTCAGATGTGAACCTCGCATGACGTCATCCTGCACGGGGGAAGGTTTTTATTGTTGTTTGTGCTTGTTTATATTTTTTATTTAGTTTTGGGTAACCTGAAAAATCCCCACCCAGACTTATTTCACCTGGAGATTAACTACATACCTCTACCTCCTCACCTCCTCACCTCCACCTCACCTCCTCCTCTCACCTCACCTCACCTCCACCTCACCTGTTTATGCCTTACACTGTAGCGGATGATGTAGTGTTGATCTGTGTTTTAATCATCCGTGTGAGTCAAATAATAAGATTAACTGCTCTTGTTGTCAGCACCAGGAAGCTTTCGTGTTATTGTAGCGTCGCTCGTCATCAACCCTTAATTAGTGGAGAGAGAGAGAACCCCGAACGACGCTGTAGAATTTAATTAAGCAGGACTGGTTTAGAATATAAATAGATAGATAGATAGATAGATAGATAAAACTGAAAAAGTATATTGGTAAATGGATAGACACACAGAGATAGCTGGATAGACAGATAGACAGCTAAAACTACGGAAGCATCAGGTGGTTTGGTGTGTGGGGGTGGTTGAGAGGTGGACAGGTGTGGAGAGAGAGAGAGGATGGACTAAGCAGCCACAGGTGAGGTGTGTGTGTGTGTGTGTGTGTGTGTGTGTGTGTGTGTGTGTGTGTGTGTGTTGTGCTAATTTTTACACTCCTGCCCGGTGGGTGAGTGTGTGTCTGTGCTCAATTGTGTGGGCGTGTTGCCTAACCTTCCCTGCACCGAGTGTGGCTTGTGGTGAGAGAGAGAGAGA